GTATTATTCAGATGGCGTCAGGTGTTACTAATTTTATAATTTGGTTTTATTACGAAGTGAACAACCGGAAGCGTCAACCTTTTTTTTTGAAGGTCAGGACCGACAGTTTCCGGTTTCAAATGCGTCAAACTTGACGCAGCTGCTCCTTCAGTTCTGTTGTAGCTGCTTGGTAACTTCATGTCACCAGACTCCTGAGCGCCGAGTCTTGAAAGACCATGAGACGGTTTCGCCAGCGAACAACGCGAAAGGAGAATATGTTCGAGTGCTCGAAGTTCAACCCGGSTTTTACCGAAAGAATCTTCAAAAGTCGTCTTTTTCATTTTAACTGACGTCCAGTCCGGCTTGTAGGACCGACAGGCAGCGAACTTTAAAACCCCATCGCMGCGACGAATCTCGCCCTTCGAAGACGACTCGATAAAATCAGGTTTTACATGTTATAAAATTGTTCATACAGACGTCATGCTTAGGAGCTGCCTGCATAAAGCTCTCTGGCCGGCTGTGCAGAAGTTACCGTCGGGACTGAAGCATGGTCCAGGGGCGGCGGTGATAGCGAGGAGGCTACCGCCGGGGACAGGGCGACAAACTCCGGGCTGCTGGATGGGAACCCACGGGAGGAACGAGCCTCTGGAGCCGCTCAACTCCCCAACGAGGGCCAAAGAGTTTATCTATCGTTTACACCCGAATGAGAGGAAATGTTTACTCATAGAGCTGCAGAGTTTCGAGTCCAAAGCCATTGCTCAAGGTAAGGAGTTAAATATAGGGTTAAAGGTGGCAGCTTTAGCAAACTTTAGTTGGAGAAATCGCATTGCTGGGAGTACCAACATTTATTCTTCCATTTAGACATATTTGGTCCATAACAGACCGGATTTCACTGAAGTAGGTTAGAACTAGTGTTGGTCACATTTAAACMTAGTGGTTTAAAAATTCTGATTAGTTAAGTAACTCATGCATGMGATATGTGTTTGTTTGCAGCAGGTTGCTGTAGAAACTACTGGAAAATGGTTAGTCATCATCATCATGCTGTGCTACAGACAATGAAACTGCAAAAAGTTAAAGGTTGTTAAAACTAAACTTTGTTGTTTTTGTGCAGTCTGGCTGAGAATAATGTAGAAGAGGTGAAAACCAAGATCTAATCTAACCACTGCCAGCAGTTTATGATTAATATACCATTAATTAAAAAGGGTCACTTATTACCATGAAGCTGTGGGCTTTTTTGCAGTTGGCTGTTCTTCTCTGCAGGATCTTCCTCTTCTGTTTCTGTCTCTCAGTGCAAATTACACTTCATGTAAAATGATGCAAGCTGCTGGTTGTTTTGGTACAAGAACGTGTTGCTTCCAGTGTGTGCTCGGCCACAGGACTTCATCTATTTTAAGACTGTAGTAGCACACAGTGCTGTTTCCACTTTTAGTTCTTAAAGAAACATTTTACATGTCTTGTTTTAGTTCAGTGAATAAAAATATTTACTGAAGCACATCTCGTTTTACTAGAAGTGGGAATCTTTACGCACATCATTTTGAATAATTGATGTGCGTAGATTAAAATCAGACACCACTCTCAGCAGCAGAACCACACTTTCCACAGAAAAAGTGTGCCANTTTTAAGTAATAATTTTGTAATAATAATCCAGATTAATGATGTTAAATGTGGAATCGTGGTTCAGTGAAATAATTCTGAAAAAAAAGGGTAAAAAGTATATATGATGGACTAAAGTCCAGTTTAGTCTCTTGCTGATAGCAACAGATAGGTACTCAGTCATCCACCTGTGCTACATCCACTCCCAGAATCCCCAGCGGTTATGAAGGTGTCTTCCTCGTAAAGCAGGGGTCTGCAATCTGAGGCTCTGGGGCCACATGTGGCTCTTTGGTTCCTCTGCAGTGGCTCTTCGAAAATGTGACCAAACATAGCAGAATATATATATTTTTTGTTTTTGTACTCACGATAAATCAATTTATATGCAAATATGTGATCAGTACTACTAATACAAAAAGTAAAACATGTTAGCTCATGCTAGCCTGTTGTTTACTTAAATTCATAATAAGAATTGGAAAAAAATAGGCCTGAATAGTTCAGTTGTAACAGTTTTTGTAAAATTTAGCATAAACTATATACATTATTTTTCTTGTTTACATGAATATGGTCTTTTCATTTGTTCTGATGTGTATAAAAATAATGATAAATAATAAAACTCACATTTTTTAGTTTCATAATGTCTACTCCACTGGCTGTAAAGGTTACCGAAAAGGCCCACGGTTCACCACTTGATAATCATAGTTTTAGCTTGTTTTGTGGCTCTGGACACATTTTATTAGTGCGTCAAGCTGCAGAAATGGCTCTTTTGGTTGTAAAGGTTGCAGATCCCTGTCCTAAAGTTACCATCTCTCAGTTTTAGTAACGTTCAGCTGCATATCTTGCATGTCAAAATTWAAAAAAKAAAACAATGATCTTTTGCATTCTGTTTGCACTCAAATCATATTGGGGGTGACTCTGTTTCTAACAAAKCACATTGGAAACTAAGATGAGAAATAATAACTGCTTTTTTTGGWCAAATCTTGATAATAATAATTGTGATTAGGATCTCACAAAATCTGAGCAATCCGTGAACACTTGATGTTGAAGATCTGTAAAATTGACTGAATAAGGTCTGCCTGTATYGGGCAGAAAAGGCCAATAGGGTTATTAGCTGTGGCGGCCATCTTCAGTTGTGCCGACTAGCTTCAGATGTAGTTTTCTACATCCAGTGACTGCTTTTGAAGAGTTTCATTAAAATCTGCCCAGTGSTTTATGAGATATTGWGCAGTCAGAATGTGTGATCCACGGTTTCTCCAGGGAGGCCAAGAAATATTTACCCTTGTACCTCCCCTGTCTCCACCAGACAGAACAGGGGTCTTCCAACTGTAGGAGCTGTCACTATGGGATATAGGTTGAAGTCAGTCAGCAGGAAAAAAAAAAAAAAYAAAAGAAAACAACTTGTCGGTCACAATCGGCTCGTTCCTGTCAGAGCAGTGTCCATCTCATTGATCTGAGGGGGAATGAGTGCTGACACATCCAGGCAGTCAGAGCAGGCATGCCGCTCTGCCTCACAGCGCGTGGACCTGTTTGCTTTCTGCTCTGAGCTGAGACCAGTAGAGGCGGCGGCAGCAGCGTGAGAGGGCCCAGCACCAGGAGCACAGAGTCGGATATTATGTCTCTGCTGAAACAGAGGGGGAGAGAGCTCGAGCGATTTGATGGATTATCACTCATCTATTGGTAGGTGAAACTCTGCAGCTGAAGGTTCAGACCTGGAGGAGAAAATTCAAAACGTTTTGGCTCCAAAATTGGTGAATGATTGATTAAACAACTGTTTGTTTGTTTGTTTGTTTGTTTGTTTGTTTGTTTG